AAGCGAGACGACCCCCCGCCCCCCCCCCCCCCCCCCCATAGGAGTGCATGGGACCCAAAGTCACTCGAACTACAACTCCCGGGTGGAGTTTCAGACTGCAAATGTTTTCAGTTCGGGTTGAAAACTTTGTTTTGGGGAGGGGGTGGTTGAACCAAATCTGGACATTTTGGCCAGGAGGCAGCCGAGTCTGGGTGAGCTGGAAGCCCCAGTTTCTCTCGAAGAGCTGGTTGGAGACATTTAAGCCCCAAGTGTGGCCCCCTCGCCGTCCCGGGCTTTGGCCAGGGTGTGCAATTGTTTCGGCAGCTCCTCGCAGCAGCCTCGATTTGTAATATTGATATGAAATATTCGCAGAGTCCAGGAGCAAAAAACAGCCGGGGGGAGGGGGCACCGCCAGCCACTGCCCCCAACTCTCCTGATACGGGCGCTGGGTTGTGAAACCCTGGCTCAGGGGGTGGGGGCTTCGCTCAGAGCCTTGGCGTTCATCTTTTTTAAATGTAAGTTTCTCCCCTTCTCGCTGCGGAGAAAAACGCACGACAATCGCCCCCCCCAGCAGCTCCACTGCCAGATGCCAATGCAAACCCCCAGCCTCTCTGTGTGTCCGTTTTAAAAATTCCCAGGACTTTTCAAGCGCTGTGTAATGTCTGAGCAGGCCTCGCTCCGAGCCACGGCGTGGAGCACGCCTGCACGGCTGGGCTGCTGGGGAGCCGGGGCCTCACGCAGCGAGGCAGGGCGTTTAACCCGGATTTCTTACCGCCGCATCCCGGCTTTTTGGACAACAATGACACTTTTCAGACCATGGATTTTGTAGTTGAGGCTGGCACCAGGCAGCCAGGGCCAGGGGGAGAGAGAAGCCGTCTCCTGCGCCTCCTTTCTATTCTCTTTCTTCTCTGTCAGTAATTATGTCCGTCGCCTTCGGAACCGCGGGATCTCTTTCTGTACAAGTCGCTGTCCCCTCTGAGTATTGCCTGTTACCGTCTCTGGGGCCGAGGAAGCGCGGGGGAAGCATGCATGCCCCCTCCGGGACGGACGGCTGCCTTTATGAATACATCTATTTTGGAGAAAAAAAGAAAGAGACGCAAGAACTTGTGCTTTGACCCCCCAAAATCAGGGCCCCTGGCCTCAGCCCGCTGCTTTTACTCCTTCCAGCCATGCAAGGGCAGCCCTGGTCACTTTCATCTAACCTGCTCGCCTGGCCCCTCCTTGCCCGTCGGGATCACCCCAAGCCCAGTGCCCATCCCCCTCCAAGGGCCCCAGGAACTGGCAGATAGAGACTTTGGGGGGAGGCTGAAGCACAGTGTGGCGCTACCAAAGGAGGCCACTGGAGGCCGCTCCATCACCGAAAACCGAGCCCCCGCTCTCACCACTTCATCCCGCTGCCCTCCAGAGCCAGGAGTCCTGGCTCCCCGCTCCCTGCCCCCTGCCCAATTCCTCCCCCCT